TCACCTGTGCACATACACTTTAAACTTGTGTTTGGACCTCTTTTCCCTTATCAGCGAGCATTCAAAGACACTTTGTACAATTAACAAATTAAATTTATTCCGATTTCTTCTTTTAATGTCTTACTTTTATAATACTTATCCATGACTGGTGTATCTCTTTTTCGGTATTATTATTTATTTTATCCGTTTGTTTAATTATATTGATGTGTTCGTATAATTGTCTTTATTGATTTTTCTTCTTTCCTTATTTTTACCGTATTTAAGGCCAAGAACACACATGCAAAAATGAGTGGCAGAAAACTGAATCAGAAGTGACGCTTCCAGTTCAGTTTCTCTTTTACGCTTTTAAGCCAGGACACACATACGTAAAAAATTTTGGCCGAATAAGAAACGGAAATGTGACAACGTCATATGTATTGTAGTAAAATAGCGCCGTGTGTATGTAATGATGTTATTCATTGCTGGTTGTATTACACTCGATCATTAATGATTTTAAGAAATGATTTTATTAAAAACGCCAAAAGAGACGCTGGTGGTTTAGGAAACGACTTCGAAAGCGTGATTTACATGGATTTAATAATTCCTTGATTACGGAACTACAATTTAACGATCGACAATACTATATACAATAAGTGAATTGTAGTTTTTTACATATCGTTTTTTGAGGTTATTACATAGTAATAAATTTTAAAATCGATAGAGTTCTGAGAATGTGACCATAATTATTCAAATATTTGCTTTTAAAAATAGAAAGAAATATAAATAAAAAAAATACATGATGAAAAGGTGTGATATCTGCTAGAGATCGATCAGCTGTAACTTTCCAGTTTGTTAATCTTTTATACTTTGTAAAATTAGTTAGGTCTTTAGTATTCTTTCATCATAAAACGTATAATTTTTTTGATTTTTGCTATTATGTTTATTATAGGTTATTTGGAACAATGTAAAGAATGATTTTATGAAAATGCCAGATAATAAAAACGAATAGAAAGCAATTGCTAAAGGATTTCAATCTTGTTGGCAACTATTACACTGTTGTGAGAGCATTGCTGGCAAGCATATACTAGTTCGATGTCCAAAAAACAGCTGAAGCTTAAATTATAATTATATAGGATCATTTAGCAAAATTTTTTTTAGCTGTGACTGATTATGAATACAAATTTATTTCAGAAGAGTTTTGTTTAATGGGTGCTGAAAGTGATGGTGGATTTTTCAAACAAGTCCGTTTGCAAAATAGCTTTTAGAAAAAAAAAACTAAATCTTCCAAATAAAAATATATTATTAAATTTTTATAAATTATTTCCATATTTCTTTGTTGAAGATGAAGCTTTTTCTCTTAAAAAAATTAAACGAGACCTGGTTCAGAGAGATCAGCTTTCACTCATCCCTAAAAAGTGCTTAACTATCGCCTTAGAAAAGCTCGAAAAATAGTATAAAATGCTTTTGGAATTCTGTCAGTGCGCTTTAGAGTTTTTAAAAGTCTACTGAATTATACAGAAAAAACAAACAAACAATAAAAAATAACAATAATTGCTGCTGCCCCCTAGTTTTACACAATTTTTTATTGACAGAAAATGTAAGTATTTACAATCTACCAAGATTCTTTGATTATGATGATGATTATTTTAAATTCCAACCAGGTTTACGGCGTCAAGATAAAAATATTAATTAATCACATTGTTCCTTTGAATCTGATATTCATGGTATACATGCAAAATCTTCGCGTGACGAACAAGCTATTATATTTATTTGTGTAATAAAGGATTTGTACCATGGCAGAATAGTAAGATACATCCAAGTGTTTTATAAAAAATTTTTTTTAAACAATTTATTTTGTATATGTCGATATTTGTAATTATACAATATAAAGAACTTAAATTTTTCATTAGTAATAATTAAAACAATTTTATAACTTTAAAAAATTATTTTATTACTTAGAGGCTAATTACATCATATAAAATATTTCTTATGACCTTCAAGGTCCAACATTAATAAGTTAAAATTTTTTTCGCATTATATTGATTTCTTGCATCCAAAATTTTAAATCTTAATTTCAAAGATTCGTAAAATAAAACAATTTTATCAAGCTCTGACACATTACCTAAAATTGAAAATAAATATCTTATAAGTTTGTCATTTTTGAACTATATTTTGCCTATATTCATAAATTTGAACTTACAACTTTTATCCAAAAAACTATTTAATGCTGTTGATGTTGATTTTAATGATAAAAAAGAGATATTATGTAATCCTGATTAATACAAGTCACTGATCTTTTTTGTTGCTGGCCAAAACTGTTATTTGAGTCACTGCTTTGATTTAGTCTGAAACAAAATCCACGCATTAAAAATCTTATTCTTTTTCATCAAAATCCTTTTTATTATTTATTTACAACTTACTCATCTGACTCAATTTCTTGATTAGCATCAATATTTGGGAGAATTTCTGTATTATTCTGGTCATCTGGAAAAATTTACAGGTGATAATTGTGTTGACTCTGTGTCAACATAATTAACATTTTGAATAATCATTGTTTTATTAATTATAGTACTGAAAGAAATAAAAAATTACCACATCTAAATAATTTATGATGAAATTTAAAAAAAATTTTTCTCTAACTAATAATTTGTACTTGTAGATAAGAATAGCAACTATATACATACATATACAATAACTAAATATAGATAATATTAATTAAATATAGGCCTACATAATAACGAATTATTACAGTATGCCTATATGAGAGAAGTTTCAAATCATAGAAATGATGTCAAAAAGCTTAAATTAATTATTAGTGTTACAATCAATTGGTACATTATTTTTGTTTAAACACGAGTTTGATTACATTTTACTGCAATAATTAATTCACTACTTTAATATTTTCAAGTGACAAACCAAATGATATAAAACCAATACCTTTTGATAAATATTTATATTAGTCAATGATGATAAAGTAACTTACAAGTAGATTCTTGTGGTGTAAAGTAAATGTATTAATACTCACGTTTCTTTACTGCCAATATATCCTATAAATATATTATCCTTTAAAGTAAATAATTCCTATCGAGGCTTATACATATCTGTACTATCACTGCCACTAACGGTGCTACAGTTTATTAATTATTTTTTTTTGCATGTATCTGTCCCTTTGCACTTTCTATTTTTTCTCTGCCACATCTGCTATAATTTAGAAAATTTAAATTAAAAAACCTGTGATTTAAATACTAGGCCTGTATGTCGATTTTACTACACCTACCTGTTTTTTGAAATTAAGAACCAACAGCCGTCAATCACTTTGCTTGTACATTGTGTCCTTGTATGCGACATTTTTTTGTCATGGAGACACTGATGGGGACGAACGTATTTTATGAACTCTTCTATTTTAATGATTTTTCGCATTTTAGAAACCGTAATAGTTGTACGGTTAACCCTCATTACCGCCATTTCTTAAATAAAACCACGTTTATACTTTCATGTCACAAAAATGGCTTCTCTTTATTGGGGGAATTTTGGCGTAAAAAGTAAAGACTTTTAAAGCTTTTACAGAACTGAAAATAGAATAGAGACATGCTCTACTCTATTTTCAGTTCTGTTTCAGCCAAAATTTCAGAAAAATTTTCACGCTTTCTGTTTAATGCTAGATTTTACGCCGAATTTTACGCATGTTTGTTCCTGGCTTAAGTTAATTTCGAAACCTTTCCTGTTACAGTGTTCAGCCACTGCTAAATTTGCGTATTTTTCCTTAATTGCTAAAATATCTTCACTTAATTTTTTTTATTTTTTCTTTGTTCCTCCAACATATGTTTTCTTCGGGTTACAATTACAATTAAATCAATACACTAATCGTTTTTCTCTGCTATATCAGATTTTTTTTATTTTCTATAATATAATAGAAATATATTTTAGTTAAATTTATTTTATCGAGTATTAAATTAATTCTACTTCTTACTACTTTTCTACTTTTCTCAAATGACTTCGGTACATACCTTAGTGTAACGAATTTCTTCTCTTTATCCATTGATTTTGATTGTTTGGCATTTTATAATTTTTCATTCCATTTATTCAATAACCGTTTTGTATAATCATTTTTCTCTTTTTGGTGTTCTTATATTACTTGTTTTTGTCTTATTTTATTCATATACATTTTAAATATGTTATATTTCATACTAACAGAAAAAACAGTTTTGTATTAATTATACTCGGTACTTATGATACAGGTGAACTAAATAAAAATATTATTTCTGATCTGTAAGACATAAATTTTGCATCAATAAATTCAGTATTAAACGTCCCGTTTATTGATATAGTACTAGTTTACAATATAAATATCCTAAATGTTATACGTTGTCCAATTTTTATACTTTGCTATCTTATCTTACAATTCAGAAAATGAGATTTGTCTGGTCTTCTTAAAACAAAGGTATTAATTTAATTTAAGGGGATCGTGTTGTCAAATCTGCCCATAAAGAATGCACTTTCAGGTGTCTATCCACGTGATCAACCTTGAGGATTTACTTATCCTTTACTCTTTATTTTATTTTTTTATGATATTTTACTACTACAAATTTTTTCACATTAATTCAGGAGTTATGGAGGCTATTTCATATTTGACACCAGATGTGACAGGTCAGGAAACGTCTGAGAGACTAATTAGATTACGTAACAGACCGATCACGTAGTATGACCAAGTTTTTTAAAACTTAACTGTGATATTCGGGGTTACAGATTTCTTTTCTTTGAATGCGCACGGTCTTGTAGGGAATCTCTGGTAACAAATTAAAAAAAGAGTTAGAGAAACGATCATTCCAGATATGACTCTTTCAACTAATGAATGATAACAAAGAACATTCATTACAAAATAGCAACGAATTGAACCTTAAAATAATTCCAGGATAATCTATTGCAAATTCGAATGTTTTAGATTTTGAAAGGAAATCTTCCTCGGGATTCATTAAATCGAAATGCAGAAATAAAACGTTTTTAAAAATTATTTAAATTACGTATAAATGAGAATTTCGTAAACTAATTCTGTTTAAAATTATTTTAAATAATTTAAATCGATTTAAATTTTTCCAAAATAATTGAGCTATAATTAAGCTATGCATGCTAACTTATATAGAAAACTGGTGCTAGCCTTATCGAAAGCTAGAGCCAAATGCAACTTTTTTGTGGAATGCAAAAATTACAATGTATTTCCGATGTCCATATATTGTATTCGGCTTCCGGTAGGATGTAAATCCTTATTACCTAAGTTAACATTTTTTCAAAAAGCTGTTCGTTTGACGAAGAAAGTTATACATTCTAAAATGGAGTATTTAATTAAATTTTTAAATGTTCTGTTTCACAAGGACCAGAATTTACTTGTGTACAAGAATAAACAAATTATTTACTTTCAAGAAAGGGTAGAATGAAATCGCACAACAATTATTACAAGAAATTAGATTAGATCAAGAAACAACAACAAAATATGAATGTACAACTTTATCCACAATTGATTTTTTGGAGAAAACGTCAAGAAGGACCCCCAATAAAACGGAAAAATCGATGAAGATCGTCTTCATTGAAAGTTCGTCCTGACTAGAACTGGGATACGTTTCTGACTCCGAAGACTTTTCCCCAGGTTACTCCCCTCCATCCTGTCACTGGAATAGACCGAAGTTCAATACATCAACAAATATACCAAGACCTTTCAGACTTTTCCATCCAACAATCTCAATCATCAATTTACCATGTCATGAATTCAAGTTCTGAACCTTTACAAGTTTTCTATCCTTTTATTCTGTACAACGTATTTATCCGCTTGCGTATTAATGCAAACCGACTCTCAAGAATAGGACATGCGATAATAAATAATATAAAATACCAAGTCTTCATAAATTCCAAATAAAAATATAAGATCTCAAATAGCTACTCCATCCATTTATGTATGAAGAATCAAATTATCATTGCAGTTATGCATGAATTGTCTTTCAAAATTTTAGCCAGTTTATGCTATTATTTCGTGAAATTCCAGAACTTACCTTAGCAGAATAGGACCAAAACGTTGGCAAATTCGAAATAACAGGCATACGAATAATGAACGGTAGTTGCACAATGGCTCGCTGCAAAAATGCCAAAAGTTATTAAGGAAATCTACAGCAATGGATCAATTAAATTATCTCTGCTCGAATCCGCTCCAGCTCCAAGGTAGAAAACCCATTGCGCTTGACACCGACTGGGGATAACTGACACTGTTCTTAACTCTGAATCGATTTGTATTTTAATTTAAATTTTACTTACTTACTGTTTGTAATAAATCTACAAATTTGTAATTTTTTAATACTAAACGTGCATAAATTCTATTTCTTCTCTTTAAATCAGTTAATAACAAGGATGAGGCCAAAGTTTTAAACGCGAAACGTGTACGTTGGACGTTAGCGCCGCTTTCCTGTAATCAAAAAAGATTGACATTGATGTTTGGATAGTCAGTGGAATGATGCTGGACATTCCAAACACCATTGTCAAACTTCTATACTTACAAAAAATGCAGCGCTGAACATCCGATGTACACGTTTTCCCGTTTAAAACTTCGGCCTCGACCTTTCTAATAATTGAAACCTGAAAAACGACATGCTGAACCAACCAAAAACTTTTGATTCATTCATAAATATTCTGTACACTAAAGTTATTACTAAGTTACCGAATTAAATATGTTATCTAATTAATGAAAAACTACTTCATCTTATCACTAAATTTAATTTAAATGTATTAAATAAAAACAAATGAAAAAAATTATCTTCACAATAAACTTTATTTTATAAATCACTTTAAAATACATAAATTATCAATAAAATTTTTGTCGACATATATTCAATCGAAATTTTTAAACAAAATTATTATAATATCCAAGATGAAATTCATAATCTTCTTCCGAACCAAATGTTACCCTACATTTATTGCAATGGTAAGTCGAATTGACTGATGAATTGTGTTCTTCTAATGCCTTATGGGTGCAAAACAGTTGAAAACAATGCAGTTAAATGAGTATAGATTATGCATCATATGATGGGCACCTAAAAACGCTGCAGTTGGAAATTGACTATTACACACAAGAAAAAATTAATCCTCTGTATTAAGAATAAGTGGGAAGATGCTAAAATAGATGATTTTGTTTTTCGAAACGACAACTGCTGTTAACATAAGTGCTGGGAAATACATTTAAATAAGTCGTTTTTTGTCACTTCCTTTTATTCTGAGGGAGAAGTTTTTATCGAATATTTCACAGTTGTTTAGTATTTCCCTATGATGTCATCTGCAATGACAATCTAATATCCATATTAAAAGAACATTTATTACATATTTTACATTCGTAGAATTTTTCTCAACTGTAAAATCTATGATGATAAGTTAAACACGATGCGTTATCGAAACGTTTATTACATATTCTCAACGCTTAGGCTTTTTATCCCATGTGGATTTCGATATGACTATTCAAATTACTCAAATCAGCAAAACATTTATTACATGTCATGCACTTGTACGGTTTTTCTCCTGTGTGGGTTCGGACATGGGTATTCAAACTGCAAGAATGAGCAAAAGATTTATTACATGTTATACATTTGTATGGTTTCTCTCCAGTGTGGGTTCGGAAATGAGTTTTCAAATTGGAAGAATGAGCAAAAGATTTATTACATGTTATGCATTTGTATGGTTTTTCTCCTGTATGGGTTCTAATATGATTATTCAGATTGGTCAATTCAGCAAAACATTGATTACAAGTTTCACATTCGTATGGTTTTTCTCCTGTGTGAGTTCTGAAATGAGAATTTAAACTGCTCAAATAAGCAAAACGTTTATCACATATTTTACATTTGTATGGTTTTTCTCCTGTGTGGGTTCTGAGATGACAATTCAAAGTGCTCCATTGAGCAAAAGATTTTTTACATGTCTCACATTTGTAGGGTTTTTCTCCTGTATGGATTCTCATATGACAACTTAAACTCTGTTTACTAGCGAAGGACTTATCACAAATTTCGCATTCGTAGGTCATTGTACTATCTACGTCTATCCACACCTACAAAAGAAACACTGTATTTTTGAGATATTCATTTATATTGCAATTTATCTTAACTCACAGTTATTAGCTACACACACTAATGCTAATTTATACGTGTTAGCATACAATTTATCATGTTTACAATTGCTTACATAAGGATATATTATTCAAGTATAAACATATAATATTTCTCATATTCAATTGTTTAGTTTATTTGTGTATGAAAGTGAATTCTAAAGCAGACGCATATTATATTGTAGTACTGGTTAAGACAAATATAACTTTACCATAGAAAGAGTTTGCTATTGTGAAAAGAAAAACGAGAATGGTTTAAAAGTTATCTTTAATGTTTAGGCCAAAAAATCTACATCGTGTGTACATTAAAATGTTAAAAAGTAAGTTATAAAGTAATTAAACGTAGAAATGTTATTACATTTTTCATAGCGAAATTACTTTTGGCCCATCTTATATTGTTACAAACTACTGCAATGTCGATTCTTTCCTAAATTACTGAAATAGAAAATTTATTCTAAAATGTGTGTCATTTCACAGTTTTGTTTACAGTGCCATTTGCAGTATTATGTCAAAAACTATTTTGATAACTTAATTTACAAATATTGGCTTATTTGCTGGATATAAAAAGTTTTCTATTTACCACAGCTTTATAACGATCATTTTGTAATTTACCTTTCTTTTAAAATTTAGTTTGAACATATTCGTGTATTACTTCACACAGAGATTTCTAAATTAATCGAAAATATTTAAATGACATTAACACGTAATTAAATCACTAAAATTATATATCAATTAACTAAAAATATAACTTTTTAAAATGTAATTGTTTACATTATTGTACAAACAGAGCAAACAATGGCTAATAATAAATTCAAAATAATTATTCTGATCAGGCATTGCTCCAAACTGTATTTATCTAAATTCAAGAATTAGCATTATAAATAGTAAACGTACGTTTAAAAAATCGATATCGAATCAATACTTAATATCTAGATAAGTAATAAAAAATGTAGGCTATGTCTAACGTTTTTATCTCGTTTCTCTAATCCACCGTGTAAGATACTATTCATTTAATAATTGTGATTTCACTTAAAACAATACAAAGTTTTAATTATGAGAGATTATTCTAATTTTAAAATATTTAAGATACTTACAGAATAAAATCAGTCGTATTATTACTTTCAATTTCTTTCGATTAATAAGAACAATTTCCTTCGTCTTCCAACACTTACAAGCACACACACCACAATTATTTAACATAATTTGCATAATCAAAAGCTGTGTTTTAATTTTAAATAACCATAAATGTTATTGAAAATATTATTTTTATATATATTATTATTTTATAAATATTACTTTGTGTAATTATATTTAATAACAAGTAATCCGGATTTTGTTATTCGATTGAGAAAGTGTTTCACGTATACACTTTTTCCTTCCACACTAGGTAAAATAATTGTTTAAATGTTAGTATTTTTAGCGAAATTTTATTTCGTTTAATATTTGTTTTATGTGTATAATTACAATGCAATCCAACATATTTTATATGAATAATAGAATGAAATACATATTTAAGATTAGACTATTTAACTATATGCAATAATTTTTGTACGGTATGGTATTAAATTTATATGAAAGATATTTTTGAATAACAGATAAAAAGAACAAATGACATTATTGCAATGCTAATTCAATCTGTTTAACTTAATATAAGTGAAAGCAAACTTTATTCAAATACAATAGAAATTCGTTTATCTTTCACTCATGAATGAGTGTTGAGACGAATTCACAAAATATATAATTACAGAATTTTCTAGTATTTTTTTTTTTAAATGTTAAGTTATATGCAAGCCAAATTAGTGCAGATATTGCTGTACTGTATATTTTGTGCCATTGCAAGCTGCTCTCAATATAGGAATAAGCACACTCTTGAATCAATATAGGAATAAGCACACTCTTGAATCAATCCAAGAATTTTACAGTGCTGGTTTCATGTAAAATATAACATTGTTTATTAAACACAAGACATAAGTATACTGTGTTAAGATTGAAAACCCTGAAGCAACGTTAATAAAAACACAGTAGACCAAAAAACAGCGATTAAAGTTTTTGTAGTATTTTCTGCAACTGAGTTACCCCCAATAAGAGTATCACGATGAACACGTAATATATGAAATTAAGACGGATTGGTAAAATTAATTGATCTTGCAATGTTCTATGATTGGTAAGTTATTGATAATAAGTATTAAATTATGTATTGTTTATCGTGCGATCTTCTGATGAATGTGCTAGCATAGTTTAAACAGTTCTTTTGAACTGCTGTTGAACGAACTTCTCTGTTGATGTTACAAATTTCTGAAATATGTTTTGAATACTTTAATGTATAATATTAATAAGTAATATAATATAAAAATGAATTACTTATTAATATTATACATTAAACTATTCAATACATATTTCANTTAGTGAGTCATATTGTATAAATTTTTAATTAGTATAATGATATCGTAGATTCCCACAAATGATAGTGTCTAAACACCATCAGCTGAAAGAATGCATGCAACAACTTACAATGTCAGTTTTCATTTACAGATCTTAAAAGGGATTTCTACCACAGAGAGATATTTTAGTAGAATGTCCATATTTCTCTATGTAATGCAGCAACACATCGACACTTTCTGTAGGAGATGTTTTTCAGGAGGACTGTACAAAAAATTTAATCTTATTTAGCTGTTGTACATTGCACACCTTACAGAAAATGTGGTAATTGTTATATGGCAACTTCTCCACCTAAAATATGACAGCATTGTTGGGTTAGAACTTTACTGACGTCAAGGCTGGTAGCGTGGAATTTCCGAGTTTCTTCTGTGTCTAAAACCTAAATCAAGGCATTTATAAAATTTTCTCTTTGAAGTTATCTCTCTTTGGTTAATCCCCTTTGTTTCGTTGCCTTAACCTATCACACCAAACTAGTATCCTATACAATCTTCTATACGTTTTTCCTATCTACAAACACATGGTGATGCTCAGAAGTAATTGAAAAAGGCCGAAAAATGCTATCGTTATCTTTTTAAAATTTAGGAAACGTTGATATAACTTTATGGAGATGGCGTTTATTTTAAAAATAATATTGATTGTAAACATTCGAAAAGTACTATGATAAAATCACGCAACGACTAACGAACTTCGTTATTATTTTAATTGCAAATGACATAAAACAGATATCCAATTAAAATTTTAATTAAACATATTCATAAATTTCGACTCATTACTGATCTGTAACAGGAAATGCTTCAATTTGTTTACAGTCGACCCCCGTATAAGATCATTGATTATTCCGTTTTATATGAATTCCATGTTGTACGGGTCACTTAGATTTTACAAATACGTGTACCGGGCTGTGAACGGCTCACGTATTTGTAAAATTTAAGTGACTTGTACAACATGGAATTCATATAAAACGGAATAATCAATGATCTTATACGGGGGTCGACTGTATTTATTTATATTAGATTTCATTTTGAACATCACTTTCTAACAGAAGTCAGAAAATTTTAGTTCTTTCAATAACTCTTTCTTTATTCATCATTGAAAGGTTAGAATTATCCGTAAGTGTTAAGATTATTTCGTATAAATATTTAATTTTAACTGTTTTAGAAAATTTCTGTTTTGTATAAAATACAACTTGTGAGTAATCTGCCACTCGCGGTGACTTTTTTTGAAATTCATCTTTCACTTAAGTGTTAGACACGCTAAAAAACCAACATAAATTTACGTGACCAACACGTCCTTGAATGTTTTTATGACACAGTGGGATAAAAGACCTTTTTCGGTAAGAAGCTTGATGCACACCTCAAATTCGCTCGTAATTGCAGCCTCCATTTTTAAGACAATCGAACTCAAACATTCTTAGAATGAAAAGAAAACCTACATCTACCAGTTTTCAAAATTTCATTTATATTCAAAGAATAGAACGGAAGCTATGCAAGCGTGAATTTCAGGTTTAATTAGCAAATTACTCTCTGTGAGGTATTTTTAGCACATTTTAGCCTTTTTGCAGATATTGCACCAGAAATATATAATTTTCTTACGACAATAGTCATAGAGTGTAGCGATTAATCCTGTACGAGCTTTGGCACTTTTAAATTTACAACTACGTTCCTAAAAGCGAGAGAAAGAAAAACGAGTAAAAAATAAATTTTTAGCTTCCTACTATACATTTTATATCCGCGTACACTATATAACATAAGCATATAAAATGTACAAAGTCGAAAATGTAGTTTACATACCGTATTACTATATGACCCAATATATCTTCTAGTGTGTAGATAAGTAATTACAGCTCTTTACATTAATTAAATAAGATGCATTTTTTCCAATAAAAATAAATAATTGTTTATATTCATACGATTTTATCAATACGAATCACAGATTTTAATGCTGCGGTATGAGTCTATTAAACTGATTATAAAGGTAGACGTTATGACTGATTATCAAAGGTGTCAGACTATCAAACGTTCTTGTGTTTTCACAATATTGAATTTTGTTTTAAGTCATTGGTAGAAGCCTTAATAGATGTAGATTTTGGTGACAGTTTTTTTATACTCCCTTTCGTTTTTTCTCATTTTCCAACCCATTTGTTACTTTTTTCGAACAGAAATCTACACTCAAGTAACAACCATTTGTTTTTGCGAATGTAATCTCCAATATAGATTATATAAACAATAGCAAATGACTTGAAAATACATATAAAAAATAATTTTTATGTAATAATTCAGTTCGACTGAACGGAATTTGATTCACAAAATAAGGANACATTCGAATAAACGCTTCTTCTGTTGTTAAAGTTGAAGAGAAAATGTTGAAAATCGTAAGTACGCATCGCACTAGAAAATTAAAATTATCTTGTGTAATTTTAAACTTTTGTTTCAGTGTCTCAATCCGGAAAGTTGTGAAACTTATCCATATAAATTTAAGTACGAAACAAAGATAGATAAGAATCTTACTGTGAAAATAACTCTAGCATATGTATGTAAATTCTTAATAATTTGTAGTTAAGATATAGTTAATAAGTTATAGCATAAATATATGCACAATTAATCTCTATTAAATTTTCGTTAATTTTATAAACTTATGCAATCGTTTCAGAATCATTGCGTATCTAGTAGAACGACTAATCGTTCTACTAGATACGCAATTGGGCACTAGATCAATTTTATCTAACAAGCTTGTTAAATAAAATTGATCTAGTGCCCAAAGAGTGGAAAGAGTAAAAAATAAACTTATAATATACATATAAATATAACGTGCAGAAAGAAAATACTACATTTACAGCAGTTTTTACTACGCGCAATGTTCAGCTTTACTCGGTAAAACCTTCAAAAACAAAGCGGAAATACGAACATGATTGCTATACATTAATGTGGTATGACTTTAAAGACGTTGACATATTTCATTTAAAGTCCAGTTATAGTTGTATTCATTATGTTATAACAAATCCACAACGATAGTTAAATAATCATAGACAAAGTAGGATTTTTCTGTATCAGATTTCTATATATTATCTAGAGGTTGATTTCTTGATTTCAATCCAGAGTCTGTTAGAGTGGCAGACTGACATTGAAACAGATGATGAATGGATAACTGTGTAATGAATAAAATATATATCCTGATTCAGTTAATTTTCCCGAAAATTTGGATTGAAACTTTTTTCTTTTGGGGGATAATAACAGAATGACCGTTTACTTCCATAAAAAAAACAACATAAGTATTAACAAGTCAATGTATTGAACCACAAATAATGTTGCTATTTGAAAACAATTTTTTAAATTGGCAAAATACTTGTAACATTTCAATTAATTTCTTATTCAACCTTGTTGTTTCTATGGGCATTTTGTCACGACAATACGAACATAGATTAATTACACGTATTGCTATTGAAAGTAACGTAGCAATTCAAGCTTAAACAAAAGTTTCATGTTGTCACTTTCGTACATGCGAAAACAAAATGAATAGAGAGTCTTTTCTATAAAAATTCCTAACGCACTACAAGCAGCAAGACATACGTTGCAAAAAATAATAAACATATGACACGGTTAATTTCTGAATATCAAACTGCTCTCGGTACGTGAAATACCATTCACATTACTGAAATTCAAAACAATGATAATTGCAAATGTATTTGAATCCCTATTTGAACAGTTGTTTAATAAAAAAAATACCAATTACCGAAGCGCACTTCGA